CCCCCCCCCCCCCCCCCCCGCATCGCTTCTGGTTAACCCTGCTAAGGAGTCAGCGGCCAGCTTCCTCTCTGTTTATAAACAGCTGCAGAGCCCCCCACGGCTAGAGTGTGACCCATTTTAGACAGAATTAAATGTGGGAAGACTTCAAAGAGCCCCATGAATTAGAAAAAGGAAGCGGAAGCTGCAGAAATGGTCTCTGCTGTAAAAGTTGTAATCTTGCAATCTGTGGGGCAGAGGTTGGACTTAGAATTGAGCAGAAGCAGCTGCACAGACCTGGGCTCGGAGACCGCCTCCGACTGCTAAGGAGGAGTTTGGCCAAAGCTTGTCCAGATTTTTATTAAAATCTCCCCCACAGATAGGCCTGGATGAGTCATCTAAGAACCTTTTGTTGACCTAGATAGAATAATTGGAGCGAAAGCACCCCCCAGATTATCTGGAGGAGAGTTGGCATGCTTTTTACGAGAATTATACCCTGTATTTCAGCGTTAATTTAATTTCCGGTGACTGACTGTAAATAGAAATGGGAGCAAAGCAACAGAATATATGTTAAAAGGAAGAGAGTCTTCAGAGGCCTCTTACTAACCCAGGGGTCTGAGATGGGGATGGATGGGGCTGGGGAATGCTGGGAGTTGAAGTCCAGAGGTCTTAATGTTGCCAAGTTAGAGACCCCTGTTCTAACCCCCTGCATGGTGCAGGAAATTAAGTGCAATGAACATTCACAGGCGGTTGTCCTGCCCGAAGGCCTCAATACAGAAATTTTTTCTCCCCATCTGGGCGACGCAGTGGCTCAGTCATTAGGACACAGGGCTTATCAGCTGGAGAGCCGGCAGCCCAGGTTCGAGACCCAAGCGCCACGCGACAGGGTGAACTTCCGCTACTTGCTCCGACTCCTGCCAGCCTAGCAGTTCGAAAGCAAGCGAATGCGAGTAGATAAATAGGTACCACTTCAGTGGGAATGTTAGTGTTTGGGGATTAACCCCTAGCAGAGTATTGCAGCAGTAGTCAAGCCAGGAAGGGCCCCAGAGTATACACACACTGAACACAAACACTGTTTGTAGTTTAAATAGTTTTTAATCCATTTAGAGTTCAAAGCATTGTCATTCAGTCCATTAAGTCATTCACAGTATTTCCATCCAGTAAGACTCACTAGTATAGTCCAAGTTAAGAGTCCTTACAATATCTTTATCAGCCGATAAAGATATCTTCTCCTCCTCCGGTGCCTCTCTCCAGAGGAACAATCGCTGGATATTCAGCAAGACGCTCAAACAGTAGAACAGTAGAATTACGCAGTAAATCAGCAAACAGTAGCAGACAGGATTCACAGTTAGTCACAGTAAGACACAGTTAGTCGCAGTAACACACAGTAAGCTTTCCAGCTTCTAATGCTTCCTTATATTGTAACTTCTAACCGCACCCTTAATCGGCTAATTGCCTGCTGCATTGTGCTTAAAGTGATAAGCACTTAAACCATGATATCTAAGTTTTATATATTTATTCACCCAAACCATATTTGGTATCAATGTTATACCTAACAGGGAAGGTAACAGTGCTCCATGACTCCATGCTGACCACATGACTGCGGAAATGTCTTTGGACAGTGCTGGCTCAACAGCCTTGAAACAGAGATGAGCAGCGCCCCCTAAGGTCGGCGACGGCTAGTGGAGTAAAAATCCGCAGGGACTCCTTTTCTTCTACTTTTATCTCTTACTCTTAAGCAGTTCCTTTGACAATCCCCAATTACTGTTAAAAATTGTTATCCTAATATTCAGCTGAAATTTAGCATCCTGTAACTCAACCCCTTTTTCGTTTAGTTACAGCTTTTTGAGGTGGCAACGAATGAGTTTTTACCATGTGTGGGTGACAGCTCTTAATCCGTGTAAACAATTTATGTAGAGATTTTCTGTCCCTCAGATCATGGTTGCCCCAAAGGTGCTTTTTTCAGGAGGCAACTGGACTTTCTTGGTTTGTTTTTTTTGGAAGATGTTTCACTTCTCATCCAAGAAGCTTCTTCAGCTGTATCCTATCAGAACCGAAGAAGCTTCTTGGACTACCTGTATTGAGGCTGTGTAGAGCAGTACCACACACCTGCTCCATTGGCAGGATCAAAGAGGAGAACCCATAAAGGTCTTTGGAAGAGCTGGCTTTGTTTCACTTCTGAGGTTATGACCACTAGGCTGAGCTGTCCTGCAATGCAGGGTGCCAGGGCCTCTGATCCTTTCTGCTGAGAAAGGCAAATCCTGAACCTTCGGGCTTCCTCTCTATTCCCTTGGCAACGCTCTCTTGATTTCCTGCCAAACAGGTGAGCAAACAGAAGAAAAAGACGGGCATGATGCTTCCACGCGTGGTCCTGACACCGCTGAAAGTAAATGGGGCCCACATGGAACCCTCCTCCGGTAAGTGGAAGTTCCTCTTCCCCCTTGAACTACACACCCATGTGGCCCCTCCAGCCCCAGCCTCCGTTCGCTCACAAATGTTCCCAGTTGCTGCTATTACTGACTTGATTTTAGCCCAAAAGCAACCTTAGGAGTGTTAAGATGGGTGGACTTCAATTCCCAGAATTCCCTAGTCAGCACAGCTATTCTGGCTGGGGAATTCTGGGAATTGAACTCCAGCAAACTTTACATTCCTGAAGTTAAAAATGATCTGGAAGGTATAAATTGCGGCCCATCTATGTTTATCATCTCTCTAAGTCTGTCTGTCTGTCTACCTCTTTCTATCCATCCATCATATATCATCCGTCCATCCTTCTATCTATCTATCTATCTATCTATCTATCTATCTATCTATCTATCTATCTATCTATCATTCTATCATCTTTCTGTCCATCCATCATATATCCATGCATCCATCCATCCATCTCTAGCATCTCTCTGTCTGTCTTTCTATCTGTCTATCATCTATATTTTTCTATTCATCCATCCATTATATCATATCCACCCATCCATCTATCTATCTATCTATCTTTCTGTCCATCCATCATATATCATATCCATGCATTCGTCCATCTATCTCTAGCATCTGTCTATCTGTCTATCATCTATATTTTTCTATTCATCCATCCATTATTGATATATATCATCTATCTATCTATCTATCTATCTATCTATCTATCTATCTATCTATCT